GACCCTCCGACAGTGTCCGCTCCCTCAGCGCTGACCCTCTGACCGTGCCTGCTCCCTCAGCGCTGGCCCATTATAAACATTTCCCCCGGAATGTTGACCGTGCTGGCGTTCTGGTTCTCTGTTTGCAGATGCTGCTGGACGTCCTGCCAACTGGGCTTCCGATCGAAAGAAGAAGGATTTCTCCTGCAGTGACCGACTGGTAACGTTCAGTCCCTTATGTCGCAGCTTCCTGTATCCCTCAGCTCGGAAATAGACCCCCCACCACTCCTGGTGTTAGAAATTCGGCATCACCTTGTGAGAGCTCCTCCCGATTCTTGCGGGGACCCTGTGCCACTCTCCCCTCTGCCCTCCCCACCCTGTACCCTCTGACCTACCCCACCCGTCCCTGTGTACGTCGTTGTTCCCTTTGAGGTGTGTTTGCTCGAAACTGCACCCTGCTGCGCGCACGTGGAAATGTTCGAATGGCAGCTATGGAAATGCGAGTTGCTGTCGCCTTTCCTGGCGACTCACTGCGGTGGAAGGGGACTGGGCGCTGGCAATTGATTCCCATAATCCCAAGGACGTTCGCGATGTTGTAAGTTGTGCACAACGCTTCCCCAATTTACCTGTTTTTCACAGCCAGGTGGTTGGAAACAGGGACCAGGCTTCTCCACAGAACAAAAAATTACCAATAAATAGGCTCGAGCTAAAGGCAGACAGTTAGGGAACATGGGTGTGGTTACCTGCTGATGAAAACAAATAGACACACAGGCAGCGAAAAAGTAGGCTCTGGATTGAGGAACCTTGGAAAAGCAGGTTTCATTTGTTTCTTACGGAGCTGAATGTTTCTTTCCAGACCTTGTTTTCTGAAAGGAAGGTTCGCTTATCAAAAGGCAGCTGCTGAAGGCCAGAGAAACCTGGCTTTTGCTTTCACTGCAGAGAACAGAGAGACAGCTCCTGAGCTGTCGGAGATCCCATCGTGTCTCTCCGTACCGTGTTCCCGACGGCCAGTCTGGTCGCAACGTTGTTGCCCGTTGTCGTCGCCAACTGGTCGTTCACCCACAGACCAATCGGCACCTTGTTGCCAGGCAGAGTACAGAACCCCTTGGTGCCAGTGCGTCTGCGAACGCGTCAGTTTATTGCTCCCTCCAGCGGCAATTCCTTGCAAATCACCGATTTTTCCGCCTGCAGCTTTTTGAAAAGAGAAGGTACAAAAGTAGAAAGACAAGTGTCCTTACACATCAGAAACCCAGACAGACACGACCTTTGGTGGTCGCACATTCTGCTTACTTTGCGGTAATGTTTTGTGCTCTCCCTTCCTGTGTAACCCTCTGGCTGTTTTCCCACAGTTTGCCCTCAATGCTGGAATACCGTTTTACACCCCTGAGGAATTCTTCCTGGGCTGGAAGAAGGCCCCATTTCACCTCCCGGAATTTGACCCGGTAATTCGGAATGTGATGGGGGCGGCGGGGACGGGCGGGGGAAATGTTTGTCTGCTTCAGTGAAGGCTGCAGGGAGACATTGGCCCAGCCAAGAAAGAAAGGTGTTGAACATTCTTTAAACAAGGAAAGACTGTGGGACGTTACAGAACAGAATATAACATGGGGTGGAGCGTAAGGTTCCACACTTTAACAGGAAGGACAGAGGGGCTGGATATTATATAAACGGGGAAAGACCGCGGGACGTTACAGAACAGAATATAACGTGGAGGGGAGCGTGAGGTTCCACACTTTGGCAGGAAGGACAGAGGGGCTGG